GCTGTTGTTGTTGTTTTGGTTTTCTTTTGTTGGTTTTTCGTTGTTGGTCTCTTTTATATATAGAAAGAGGATGTGATTGAAGAGACAATTTTTGAGAGAATGACTAGTATTGATGTAGAGTTTATTTATAACAAGGAATTTCGTGACATGTTGTTATCAAACAACTGCCAAACGCACAGACTGAGATACCTGGATCTCCAAATTTAATTACGATTGGTATTAAACCCTGAGTACAACACCTGGATTCAACATTCGCTCCGAACAGCTCAATGGTTTCGCGTAACGTCCATCCATTCAGTTAATATTTATCATTGAAATATCGCAGTTACTTAGCTTTCCCTAAAATCACTGTGTATCTTTGTTTCAAAGGTTTTCTTTTCTTCAATACGGAATAGAATCGCAAATCATGTGTCTTCACCGCCTTGCGAGCCTAATCCGCGCTCTTTTGAGAATAACGTACAGTTCTCAGTAACTAAAATCAAACTGATCAGCGCAAAGAACAAGCTATTAATTGTCGAGCGTGGCACAGCTCCTGGTGCAACTTTGTCGGTCCATTTACAAAGCAGTCGAAAAATTTATTTCATCTCGTAGTTTCTGAGTTAAATCTACACTCAACTCTCTGTCTGCCTCCAGCACTGAAATCTGTGCATGTATTGTACGTTGGTTTTAAGCATTTATCGTTTTCTGTAGAGAGGTAGACCTGATCTTTCCAGACGCAGTCACCACAGACACATTATGTGTACTAACATAAACAAGCTAAATATCCTTCTCTTGATGCCTTCTGCACGCAGCCTGATCAAACAATTTCCAACCTACCCCTCCCACACAGTGTCAAATTGATATTAAGTTCCCGCAGGAGCCATAATCGCGGACGGAGACCGTAAGCAGGGCGCTTATATGTACTTTTTTGAACTGCGGTTGTAGATGAAAGTGAAGAATGATCATCGTAGTAGATTTTCCAATTTCCAATTAATTGGAAAATATACTGCGATGATCAGGAGCCATAATCGGGGACGGAGATCGTGAGTCTTGGGATCCGCGCGTACCTATGATATGGGACAATTTTTCTATTTTTAGGACAAATTGCGCCATCCTGACGTCATGTATCCGCGCGGATCCACGCACATGTCGGGGGCTCTCCCGTGGATGCTGTCACGTTGCGTGATCAAATGGTGAGAGTTGCGAGATTCTCATGCAGATTTTTCACAGCGATGACAGGGGATAAGGCAGGGAATAAGAACCAGGGCTCTTATATATAGTTTTATACTCTGAGCTAATGGAAAAGGTGAGTTTTTCAGGGTCGAAAACGAGACTTCAATTTCGCGCTGTGAATGAATAATATCTGCTCGCGCTAGTTGTGCGAGTAAGATTTTGCGTTTGTGCTGTAAAGAAAAGCCATGCAAGAAAACGCTTTACTCTGGTATCGAGTTAGTCTGTGAGTTTCCCAAACAATGGTTAATCATAACCAAACCCTGTTTTTGATAGTTTCTTGCCTCTGTTTGTTTGGCGAGTTTGCAAAAGTTTTTGAAAGGAAAGTGTGACGCGTTCATAAGTAGCTCATTTGCATAGTGCAGTGCAGCGCGTGCACTTTCAAATCCGAGTCGGTGTTTTCAATTGTCAACAAATCTTGCCAAAGCTTTCTTTCCTTGTCTTTTGTGCTGAAAGGCTACAACAATTTTCACCAACGCCATAAGGCTACTAACATCATGTGTATTTCTTTAACATAGTGAAATTTTACACTGCGAAAATAAAATAGCCAAGGAGTTTTGAGATAAACTAAGAATAAAGCCAGGATTCGAACCAGGATTCGAACCAGAATCCGAGCTAGGATCCGAACCAGGATTCGAGCCAGGATTCGAGCCAGGATCCGAGCCAGGGTTCGAGCCAGGATTCGAACCAGGATCCGAGCCAGGATCCGAGCTAGGATCCGAGCCAGGATCCGAACCAGGATCCGAGCCAGGATCCGAGCCAGGATCCGAGCTGGGACCCGAGTTAGGATTTGAGCCAGGATCCGAGCTAGGATCCGAGTTAAGAGTTGAGCTAGGATCCGAGCCAGGATCCGAGCTAGGATTTGGGCTAGGATCCGAGCCAGGATTCACCCTTTCCGCGCCTTTAGTTTTTCCTGCCACTTTGATCACGTGATCAGAAACCAAAAAAAAACCCCAGCTTGTTGCAAGTAGAATCAAACCAATTCGGCTCATGCACGTCAATTTTGACACAGGGCGTAGGCACAGTGTCGAATTTGTAAAGGCGGGTTTCAGGCGAGAGAAAATCTTCGTTTCAACGAAAAGCTATTTTACGTGAATATCCAGGAACACTGAAAGTTTTTTGATAACTTAGTAGATATACTAGCGAATTTCTTTTTGATAATACTAATACATTTCATTTTGGCGGCGCCCAAGTGTATTTCTACCAGAAAACTTGACTTGCCACAGGGATTCTAGTAGTTGGATTTCTTCATTTAAAAATGCTGGCAAGGGCTTCGATCGTTTTTGCTGTGAGAATATATACGGTTTCTTTTTGCGTATAGTTTCTACAGTTTTGATACATTGATGTCGAGTTTGATATTATACAGTGTAAAAAATGCTGAAATTTTAAGAAATAAACAGGGCGTTTTCGTGCCGAACACGGCTATATTTAGTCGTGGAAAGAAATCTGATCGGGGCAGATTTTGATCACCTGCTAGGTAACCACTGCAGTTAACGCAATCAACAAAATAAAGCTAGAATTTGTTATTTTTGGCAGAGTAAGCTTCGTCCAAACACTTGATTATACCCATGTGTATGACTTAACCGATATTTTGGCAGATCGATTTGGAAGTGAAAAATTTCCCTTCAGTTTAGTCTCGTGTACAAGTAGGCTGAAAGTGCTGGCGGAAAGAGTAGTTTACATTCAGAGCTACACGAAGCAAGAATTGCACATCGATGGCACACGGTAAGTCGTGATGTTCTGTAGCGCCAGTTATAAGATTTCATTTTAAAATCAGGGGGATGCGTATAAAGCTTCTCGAAACAAACCAGACAAGCTCTGCCTACTAAATCGAAGATTACAGTTTATATGTATGTTCCAGTCACAATTCTTTAAAACAAATTACTTTCTTTCATGAATTATTTCAAAGGATTTCTACAAAATTCCAGTAACTTGTTGTTTTTCTCAGTTGTTACATACCACTACAATCAACTGTATATTACAAAATTGCATCAATTTCTAAAGCTTCCGACCACAACGACAGCATATTGAGTACATGTAACTCTCGGCCAGCTACAAACACTGTGTCTCAAAAAGGGAAAGCAAGTGATATGTAGTACCCACCTCTGGTCGAAGGAATTTCGTGAAGACATTAACAAAGCGAACTACGACGTTTTTACCACTGTATGGCTATACATTTAAGCTCTTCTAAACTAAAAACAGTGCATGATTTAAAGGAATCGGAAAAAAATCTCAGCTGAAGAAAAACACAAACGGAGTAGACCAGATCAGCGAAGTAAGAACAGAAAACAAACGCATACAGTTCATTTACAACCATGTACATAAAACAACGGTTATAATTATTGAAATTTGTTATAAATGTTGTGTAAAAGCGAGCCATGTTTTATTGTGATAAACCTGACTCAAACACACATTGGCGAAGTTTAGAGATGGTTAATATCCACATTTCGCTACGGCTGCGACATTGAATCACTAGGGGCGAGGAGGAAGGAAAATTTCCCTTCGCTGAACCGATCCCCTTAAATTTTGTTTGCCAGACGATTCCTAGAAATGTTTCCCCTTTGAGTATTTGAACGGTCAGTATAAAACATGGACTGCGGACTGCGGACTACGGACTACTGACTGGGTACAAAACACAGACTGAGGTATAAAACTTGGACTAAGCATTACGGACTGGGTATAAAACACGGACTCGGGTATAAAACGGGGTTTTATACCCGATTCCGTGGTCCGCAGTCCGCAATCCCCTTTTTATACTGACCGATTATTTGAATGGCATAAGCAAACGAAGGAGGGGAAATTTCCCTTCACTAAACCGATTCCTAAACATCTTATTTTGTTTGCCGGCCGAGATTGTACCCTATTATATATGTACAGTATGACTAAAATGAGCTAGAAGAGATCTCATAGACTCACATATCTTTGCTCAAAGCTTAGTGAAAACTATTGTATTTTTAGCTGCAAGGTATACGTATTAAACAATTGAGTTATTTTCTTGGAATTCTTTATGTAATCAACTGCTCTCCTTTGCCTTTATTGACTTCTAAGAAAGTGTTTTTGCGCTTATTCTTAGAAATGACTCAACAAATATTTTGGTAAATCGAAATCGGAAGTTGAAAATTTCCCTTCGGTTTGTCGCCTTGAATAAATAGTCTTTGGAGCGTGCGGAAAGCGTAGTTTGCATTTAGTGTCACACGAAGCAAAAATTACACATCGATGGCACACGGTCAGTGGTGATGTTCGTCAGAGCTATTTTTAAGATTTTTGAACGCGTAAAAAAGGTCGCTGAACAAACTCAGCCTACTAAATCGAGGAAAACAGTGTCGTTCCAGACAATTTTATTCACGATCAGACCTACTAATTTCTTCCATGAATGATTTCAAAGATTGTTAACGCATTTCTTCTGAGGATAACTAGAATTTGAATAGTGAAAGAGTTCTTTCTTATTCAAAACTATTTCAATGTTCTTCAAAACTTTAAAAATGGAAATTCTCCAGCAACGGGTTTTCAGCCATAGAATTGAGGGGTGGGGGTGCATGGGGGTCATCTCTTAACCACTTTCTCTGAAAATCTAACATTCTAAACCGCCATTTGGCACATTCATAAAGACATTTATTTTTTTTGCTGCAACTTTTTCTTCATTTCAATAGAATAACCCTGTTATGCTATTGTACATATATTCAGGACGTTCCCAGCGGGATATGCCGGGTCAGTTTACAGGCCAACCGTCATCCTTTGGCACAGTTTTCCAGCAGCAATCGCTGAGACAGGAGCAGACGCAACNAGGACGTTCCCAGCGGGATATGCCGGGTCATTTTACAGGCCAACCGTCATCCTTTGGCACAGTTTTCCAGCAGCAATCGCTGAGACAGGAGCAGACGCAACGTTCATTGCAAGGTTAGTGGGCCTTAGGATTCGCCTTTAACTTGGAAAATAGTATTTTCTAAGTTGTAACAAATGACTACACTTACCACAAGTTGAGCTTCGCTCAATCCTTCGCTTAATCATCTCTACCGAGCGAAGCGAGATGGAAAGGACTTCTAGAAAGTCTACAACTGGCAAACATCAAATCACTTCGTGACCAAATCGTTTCATCTTGTACCTCTCGAATAACTTGAGATCAGTTCGACTTCAATGCGCAAGCGCCTGTGAAAGCCTTATGCACTGATCAACAAATGTTCGAAATGTCCAACTGGAAACGAAGGAGTGAGAGGAGTGAGTTAAAGTAATCAGTATTTCACACATTGCTAAGCGTCATCGATCGCGTATGGATGTATTGCATGGCATTTTATTATGTTAAAAATGGTTAAAA